ATATTGTAGGTTTTTTTTTTTTTAAGAGAGAGAATTTTAATATTAGTTTTCGACAGACACAACATCTTTGTATGTGGTGCTGAGGATCGAACCCGGGCCGCAGGCATGCCAGGCGAGCGCGCTAACGCTTGAGCCACATTCCCAGCCCCTGAATATTGTAGGTTTATATGAAGTCTTGGACTTGGTTCTGCGAGACTCCAGTGTTGTTCTTTTTAGTTATTTTGTAGTACTAAGTATAAAATCCAGGGTGTTGAGCAGTATCTCTAGTTTATTTTTTATTTTGAGACAGGATCTCACTAAGTTGCTGAGGTTGCCCTCAAACTTGTGATCTTGTCTCAGCTCCTGAGCTGCTGGGATTATAGGCACACACAGCCWTGTGGCTTCCAATTTTGTTTTTTTCAGAATTTTTTCTACTAGTCTAGTTCTTTTGCGTTTTCATATAAATGTAGAGTTAACTGTTAAAATTAACACAGATTAGAAAGTTCATTGAGATTTTGTGTTGTACTTACGACATTCGACATTTGGGAGATTTTCAGTTTGCAAATTTTCCACACTTTTATATATAAGGACTCCATGGTTTTGGTGGTAGTGTTTGTGAATGGCATTGTTTTTAATTTATAATGTAAACTGATCATTGGTAATGTAGGTACCTGATTGACTTTTGTATGTTGTTTATCCTGACACCTTGCTTGATTCTAGTATTTGATGGAGATGTTTGGTTGGGGGTGGGGGGGAGTCAGTGATTTCTATAAAATTATGTCATCTGCAAATGGAAAAAACTTAATTTTTTCCCTCTGTAAACTTTGTACTTTTTCTTTTTGTTTTCCTCATCCATTACAATGTTAGGTAAGGTTATCCTCTCCAACTAACCTTAGTTAGGTAAGTTAGTTCTCTTACTATTAATTATGATTCTGCCTATGGGCTTTTTGTAGATGCATGTTACACTAAAAAATTTTACTTTTAACCTTAGTTTATGGTTTTTACTTTGAATAGTAAATTTTGTTTGGTACTTTTTCTGCATGTATTGAGAAGATTATGTGGGTTTTCTTAATCTGACAACATGTGAGTTATAATCATTGATTTTTTTCAAATCATGAATCAGCCTTATCTTCCTTGGATGAAACATACTCAGTCATAATGTGTTACAATTTCTTTGTATGTTTCTGGATTTGTTGATATTTTCAAGGACTTTAGCACATAAGCACGTGAATAAAATTGATCTGAATTTTTCTTTAAAAAAATTGATTGGTTTTATTTCATCACATTGCATATTTTTTGAGTTTGGGCATTTTTGTTTTAGAACATTAGGAATATACAAAGAGAAACCGCATGGAAATGGAAGGCGATCCTCAGGGTTATACAAAATGACATATAAGAGGAAAGGAGGGGTAAGACAAGATAATACAAATCGAAGAAATGATTTACAGTAGAAGGGGTAGAGAGAGAAAAGGGGAGGGGAGGGGAGGGGGGATAGTAGAGAATAGGACAGACAGCAGAATGCATCAGACACTAGAAAGGCAATTTGTCAATCAATGGAAGGGTAACTGATGTGATACAGCAATCTGTATACGGGGTAAAATTGGGAGTTCATAACCCACTTGAATCAAACTGTGAAATATGATGTATTAAGAACTATGTAATGTTTTGAAYGACCAACAATAAAAAAAAATGCAATCCTCAAAAAAAAAAAAAAGAAACTTGGCTGAAATATAGGATCTGAAGATAAATTTAAAAATGTTTCCTGAAAGTAATCAAGAATATCAAGTAATACCAACATGTCTCTCATATTCACCAAAGTATGTTGGTCACTTTTACTTTTTGCCTCTTACCAGTTATTGGCATGATAAAACAGATCAACTACTTTAATATTTCTGAAATTTCTTTTTTTATATATTTTTTTAGTTGACAGAACACCTTTATTTCACTTGTTTATTTTTGTATGTGGTGCTGAGGATCTAACCCAGGGTCTCGCACATGCGAGGCATGCGCTCTACCGCTGAGCCACAACCCCAGCCCCTGAGATTTCTTTTTAAATACTTTTGTCTCCAAAAATTGAGTTGCTAAGTTTAGAACTTTCACAGTTGATACCAATTTACATAACAAGGTATCCACTACTCGAACAAAGTGATAATCTTTTGTATCTCTAAAAATAAAGGAAACTTATTAGATGAAGGTCTTTATCCCTCTGTAAGTTAAACTTACATAAACTTAGTTTTTCTCTTTTCTGTATACCAATTGTGCAAATTATGAAATGAGTCTACTATTTGAATAGTTATATCCCTTCTTATGTGTAATAAAGGAAATGGAGTTCAGGCCTCTTACATATTAGAGTAAATCTTACCGAGCCTATCAGTTTATATTAATTTACTTTCCGTATTTAATGGTCATATGTACCTTCGAAATTCTTATTTAGAATTTAGCAAACATCGAACAACTAAAATTAATTTGGAGCCACACACATTTTGATGGGAAAACATTCATCAAAGTACTCGGGGACCTCTTCATAATTTAAGGTATCTCTTGCTGCAGTGGTGGGAGACAGGACCTGGTGATGGGTCTTAGCCATATCTTCAGTGACAGGTTTGAGGTTGATATTGGTAGTAAAGTTCTCTGGGAACTTCTCCAGTTCCTGCTAGTGTAACTGCTCCATTTTTCTCTTGGGGTATACTGTGTCTAGGGACACAGTTTTCTTCTTGTCACTTCTGGTGGCCTAGTTCCTTGTGCCCCAAAATCTTATTTTCTCAAGATGGTCACATTTTTATCAGCTGGTGCTCATCTCTGGGTCCTCCATGATGTAGAATAGCAGGTGTGAATCCAGGTTTGGTGGCAGCTATAATATTGGCTCAAGCAAGCCACCTAGCAGGCCACAGATCTTTAGTCTGTCCTGGCCACTGCACTCTATTACTGTATTTCATTTTATTATGTAAACATTGTCTATTTTAGTTATTTCATAATTCTGAACTCATGGAATGATTTATGCTTTTCTATTTCCTGAGATTATTTCTTCCTTCATTATTTGGTAGACTTTATGAATGGAACCATCTGAGTCTGAATCTTCTTTTTGGAAGTTTTTTTTTTTTAATTCAAACTGTGAATTTGGTATTTTTAATTTATACCAGGATTCTACATACATATTTTTTCTTCATCTAGTTATGAAAATTTGTGTTTCAGAGTTCTTAATTTTACATAGCTGAATTCATTGGCGTAAAGTTATTTGTAATACCCTCTTATTAGTTTTTAATATCCATGGGTGAATTCGACAGTATTATGTTTCATTCCTCATTCAGTCATTTGCCATCCCTCCCGTTTTGATCAGCCTGTCAAGATTTGTAAATTTTTACTGATTCTAACAAAATGGTAACTTTTGATTTCATTGTTTTTTTTTTTTTTCTGCTTTCAAATTCATTGACTTTTGCTTTAATTTTTATTGTTTCTTTCTACCTTCTGTGGGTATTTATTCACCCTTTCTCTTGAAGAAGTTTAGGTTGCTGATTTCAGGTTTTCTAAGATAAGTGAATAATGGTGATTTCCTTCTGAACACTGCTTTACCTATAATCTATGAATTTGATAAGTTGCGGTTTCATTTTCAGTTCAGTGTTTTTAAATTTTCTTGGGCACTTTATTTATTTTGGACTTGGGGGTCATTTAAAAGTATGCTGTTTAATTTCCAAGTATTTAAATTTTTCTGTTACCTTTTTTATTAATTTCTTCTGTGACCCTGTTATGGTCTGAGAACATACTTTGTATGATTTCTGTGCTTTCTAATTTTAAGGTCTCCCCCCACCCCAATAATGGCTCTTATATAATGGTCTGTCACAGTAAATGTTCCATTTATACTTGAAAAGAGCCTGGGCTGTTCTGTGGTTATGTGGATTGCTCTAGAGATGTCAGTTAAGTCAAGTTGATTGATAGTATTATTAGCAATATTTTGAAGCAGGACAACAGATAATTTCAGGCACTCTGCAGGTTGAGGGCCACTTAAAACTAACACTAATTGACAGTAAAGTGTAATAAATGCTCAATTTGGAGTTCAGGTTCATATTTCCTGTATTTATGGATACCTAGTAACATACAACCAATTGTCTCTGCAAAGTGTAAACTTGCTAACTACAGCCGTCTGTAGAGTAAGACATTTTTCTTGTCCGTACCTCTAAGTCTTCTGCCCCTTGAATGACTTTATAGTCTTTCCCACAAATATACTCTATACCTTTCACCTACACTTGCCTTTCTTAAAGTGTGTTTTACAAAATATTACAATCTGAAACAATCACTAAGCAGGAGGTGGAACAGGAAGAAGTTTACCAATTGCTTAGTAACCTATTGAATATTTTCCCACCTTGAAATCCATAATATCAATTTTTATCATAATTACTCTATGAAGTATGGAGTAAAAAAAATCCTTTAGTCCACCTTTTCCAGAAGATAAAATATGTAATAGTAAGTACCTTATAAGAGTTTTAAGAGGATAAAATGAGATAGCATAAGATAAATATGTAAAAATGGTGTGTGTACTATGATATATAGTAGTTGATGTTCTTGCTTTCCTTTTAGATTTTTTTCACTGGAACTGAGTTTTGAAAATTGAGATTGATGTGAAAGGAAAAAATTTACTGAGAATACCCAAACTGGAAAATTCAGAAAAACATGAGCTTTAGGTGTTCCATTTTCTTTATTATTTTAGTGTAACATATCACGTTCTCCCACCTGCCCACCTTATCTGCCACTGTTTGCCTATCTACTCAGAATTAACATCACTGGTATTCTTAGGTATAATTAGACATTTACAAGTGCATTGCAGAGAGAGTGAGGTTTACAGCCCGATGACAAGTTTCATGAACTATGAGCAATAGACAGTATCATGTCTTTTGCCTTCCAAAGCCATGTACGTCACCAGGGAAGTGCTGTGCAATTAGGATTCTCTCCTCCCCATTTACCTTCCCTGGTTCCTTTTGTATCTCTGTGGGAACTTTATTGACACTCTGCTTTCTTCTCTTGAACAGGTGGGCTCTGCATTGCCCAGTCCGTGAGAATACCCCAAGAGCGCAAAGACAGGACCATTGACTTTGATAGGATTATCAAACAGCTCCTGGACACCCCCAACTCCAGGGCCGTCGTGATTTTTGCCAACGATGAGGATATAAAGTAAGGATTATTGGTGAAATATGTTCATATGCATGTTGCAGCTATAGGAGACAGAAAGACCAGGATGCTGACTGAAAGAGAAAACACAGCATAGTATCAAAGCCGTAATGATTCGGTGGCAATATCTGTGTGTGCTTTCTATTCCCTCACAGGGAGCTGTACTTTCCCATGGATATAGCACCTTGTTCGTGTTCTGTCTTTTCTATTAGAAAATAACTGTATTCAGTTATTAAAAAGAAGAAAAAACACTAAACTTTTTAAAGCATATCCAGATATAGTAGGTTTATATCTAAAGAATGTCCTGTTAATGTTAGTAAAGTCTTATAAGTCTAGTTTATTGGCAATGCCTTAAACTCTTATGTTCAGAACAAAACTTATCCAATCTGTGAATTCCTGAATCCCCTTTTTCCTTCTCATATCTTTATTCCCTCTCCCTCAGTCTACACAAAGCTACTTATAATCTTCCCTTTTCCCCTAATTCCTTGGATTTATAGGCAAACCATGTAAAGCCGGTCTTTCTAGAACATGATGTCCCCTGCTTCCTTTGCTAATCACTCCCAATCTGGTCCAGGATCTATTTTTATCTTTATAGAATAAATGGTAATTATACCTGATTCAAAAGTAAAATAACTCTTAGTATCCACGCTAGAAGGTAAAATATAATTTATTTTGTCTCTTAGTTCTTGTTAGATCATTCTTAGAGAACTGTGTTTGTGCTTATGTTCCTGTTTTAAATATAATACATGTACTACCTGTACCTATTCTGCACCTTGAATGTCTTTGCTCAGGCTTTTTTCACTGAGGATCTCAGTACCTGATAGATGTAGTCTTTTGAATAGCCATGCAGAATTTTATTTTACATATATAATTAACTTATCTAAATGTCCCCTTGTTAGTGACATTTAAGTTTGATTATAGACTTTAATATATAAATCTATTAACATGTAAACATTGATGTATTATATACCTTGTTCAAATAATATGATACAAAAATATTATATATTTATCTTACAAGGAATTAAAAGATAGCCAGGTGCAGTGGTGCCTGCTTATGATCCCAGCAGGTTGGGAGGCTAAGGCAGGAGGATCACAAGTTCAAGGCCAGCTTCAGCAACTTAGGCCCAGGCCCTTAGCTATTCAACAAGACCCTGTTTCTAAATAAAAATATTAAAAAGGGCTGGGGATTAGGCTCAATAGTTAAGCACTCCTGGGATCAATCCCTGGTACCTAAATAAATAAATATAAGATAAAGTCCTTGAAATGAAAGTACTAGGATAAAGATGTGTTCCTTAAAATACTGTCTCCTAGAGACATGCCAGTTTTTGATTCACTGATGTGAAAGAACTCGTTTAAATCATTGTCTATCTGGTAGTTGAAAATTATATATCATTGAATGTGAAGGCATCTTTTATTTTATTATAGTGCTCAAGGCCTGGGGTTGTAACTCATTGGTAGAGGGCTTATCATGCACCTGTGAGACCCTTTGTTTAATCCACAGGAAAACAAAAATAAATTAAAAAAAAAAAAACAGGGCCAGGCCATGATCACAATTTGTTTGGATCTATGCATTGCCAGTAACCAGACTTTTTACCTTCATCTGCCCCTGCTCTGCTGTCTATGTAGTCTATGTACTACCCGTAAATCCATCCTGGTACAAACCTCTGATTGCAGGTGGACAACAGGGCTGAGACATGGAAAAGTATTAAACTTGAATCTGAGAATATTTAACTACTTCAATGGGCACTGTCCCACTTTGGGCAAGTTCCTCCCAATCCCAATTTCTCAGGTCCTCAGTTTTCCCATCAATACAATGAAAATACTTTTAAGGGGTTTTTTGCATTTTCTTCCTCCCAGGTCTTCATACCTTCTCTTCCACCTACCTAGAATGCATTTCCTTCCCTTTTTTTATCCCTAGTGCCAGCTCTAGTGTTGTTTTGTCATGGAGATCATGGAACAGAGTGGCTTAGAAAATTCATTATAATACTTCAGTTTATGCCAGTAGTGCAGTGTTATATCATTGTGTGGCTAAATTAATGTTCGTATTCTCCAGTAATCTGTAATCCTTATTAGCATAGAGATAATGCTTCCCTTGACTGATTTTTGTATTTTTAATACCTGTGCTAGTACACAGGCCATAGTTGATTCTCAATGAGTGGCATTGGATACATGAAAGAAATACATAGTCTTATGCCAGAACTTCATGATTGGAAATACAAACTTTTCTTTCTGAACTACACAATTATTTAAAATGTCCCACTTCAACATTTTAGACCTCACACCCAATTCTCCACCCCAAATTCATCTCCGTCATAGCGTTTATTCATTTTGCCTTTTCTCTTTCTGATGAACCAATATCTGTTCTTCAAAGTCTCTTTCATACATGCTAGGGAAATGTTTCTGATTATGCTTAAATATATTCTCTCTCTCCTTAGAAAATGCTGGTTGTGTTGTTCTCAGGATATTTTCTTCTTCAATCAATGTTTTAGTTATTTTTGAAATTCTCTGTTTGTAGTTACTATACTTGTCTTTGGGCTACACTTTTTTTTCCATGCTACTAATAATAACCTCCTTGATTATCTCAAATCCTTCCCATACCTATTTCACACATTTTTAAAACTTGTATCATATTGGTAAGGCATGGCCTTATGTTTATTTTAAATGCACTCAGCACATACAAAATGTACTACTGATAGATCTGTTGATTGATGAGTTCTAATATGTTTGATCTGTAGGTAGCATATTTATTTTGGATGTAGAATGAATGTAGTTTACTTAATAATTATGTTCATTCTTTCAATGTTCTGGTCTGTGCACTGAGTGTTACTGGATATTGTGATTTATTGTAATGACTGCAATCATAGTTTTTGAGCATGGTGATAAAAGTGGAATACATATATATTTCTTCCAAAATGTGATCTTAGAAGCACGGGTGTCTGAAGAGTACAGATCACCTACAATGTTTGTTATTTATTGTTTCGGAAGCTTTACACTGTAGATGGGAGATTTTGAGATTTCTTGGAACATTAACTTCAAATACTYGGTCTGAGAATAGCAGTGAGAAGACATTAGTATCTAGATTCTGAAGCTAAGTGTTAAATCATTCAGAGTATTGATCATTTGGATTTTAGGCAACAGTGAATCTTTTTCTGAAATACCGTTCTGATTATAAAAGTAACGTTCCCATTGTAGATCCATTGGAAAATAAAGCTTTTTTTTTTTTTCCCCTGTACCAGGAATTGAAGCCAGAGGCTCCTACTCTCTGAGCCACATCTCTAACCCATTTTAGTTTTTGAGACAGTATCTCACTAAATTGCCCCACCATGGGCCTATTTTAACTTTTATTTTTAAGTTGTAGATGGACATAATCTTTATTTTTAGGTGGTGCCAAGGATCGAACCCAATGCCTCACATGTGGGAGGCAAGTGCTCTACCATTGAACTATAGCCCCAGCCTGCTTTAACTCTTTAATCTTTAACCACCCCCCCCTTTTTTTTTGCTATTATCTGCATAATGAATTCCCTTCCGGTAGGATTGAATTCACTTACTTTTCTCCTAACTTCCCAGTATATTCTATGAGATATTTATTTCATAAAAATGTGTTTATTATGATTATGTAATTATCACACACAATAGCATCGTTTTTTTTATTATCTTGTATTTTAGAAAAATCCTTTTGCTTTTTCCTCATGGTAACATGACAATGTTTTGTTTTTATTTTTAAAGAGAATTTTTTAATTTTTTTTTTTTTTTTTTTTTTGGTTTTCGGTGGACACAACATCTTTTATTTTTGTGTGGTGSTGAGGATCGAACCCAGCACTCCGTGCATGCTTGGCGAGCGCGCTACCACTTGAGCCACATCCCCAGCCTCATGACAATGTTTATTATTTGTGAAGCTATTTTAATATTTTTCTGTTGACCTCATAGGTCTACTACTTTTTGCTATGTGTTCATATATAAAAAAATCTTGAGTTCCATTATTTTTTCCTGTGCACATCCTTCCTGAAATCTCCATCATTCTCTTTATTTGGACCAGTTACTGTCAAGAGTTTCAAACTCTATCACTTTCTCTTGCTTTGTCTTTCACTCATGTGTACACGCTCTCTTTCTCAATGATTTTTCCTGGCTCTGTAGTGATTTTTATTCTTAGTTTATTTTCTCATATCCCTAGAGCACATTCTCTAATAAGTTTTTCAAAAGAGTAAATTAAAACATCTTTGTATATTTAATGACTAAACTTATTTTTATACTGAATACAATTGGGGTGTTAAGGTGTTGTCTCATGTATTTTTTCTTAAATACACCATATCTAGCCCATAAATGATTTACAACAAATATCTGTAGATGCCTAAAGAGAAGTTCATGCTTGTAGAGGTTGTAAAATTCTGGTTTAGCATGGAAAAACCTATAAGATCCACTTGGTATGCATGCAAATTCTCTTTGCATTGGGGTTTTTATTTGCCTTTTATTATTATTTTGGATTAAACAACAAATTTTGCCCCCAAATTTAGAGTTAATGCATCATTGCTATCTCATCCTTCATTTTTTTTTCTTTTTTGCACTTGAGCAATTGATCTTTTTATTTCTCTGCACATATCCTCACTTTCTCTCTGAATGATTTCAGAATACTCATTATTTTCAGTCATCTTGAATTTTTATAATATGCTTTATTTTCTCCCATTTTTACACTTTTGTATCTTTCCTATTTTGAAAATTTAGGCCTTTGAATTTCTTGGAGTTTTCTTCTGTAAAAAAAAAAAAATTAAAATTTAAAAAATTATTTAAATTAAAATTAATAAAAAAGTTWAAAAAAATTATTTGGGAGGCTGAGGCAAGAAGATCTTGAGTTCAAAGCCAGCCTCAGCAAAATTAAGGCACTCTATGTAACTCAGTGAGACCCTGCCTCTAAATAAAATACAAAATAGGGCTGGGAATGTGGTTCAGTGGTTGAGTGTCCCTGAATTTAATCCCCAGAGGTCCAAAAAAAAAAAAAAAATCATCACACATTTGTTCTGCAAATGTTACTTGGATATAGGGTTTCCTATATCTATTTTTTAACACTTTTTTCTTATTTATTTTTGGTTGTTTTACTTTCTGCAGTGTTTCTAAACGTTTTCTTTTATCTCTTCAAATATAATTTTGATTTCATATTTTTTGGAAGAGCTGTTTCATAGTGTTACTGTTTCATCTTGCTGTTTACACAAGTGAAAATTTTCAATTAAATGTATTTGTTATTTTGATCTTTTCATATATTATCTCTTCCTCATACCACACCAATGTCTTTTTTCTTGTTCATTATTCTATTTTATGTAGGAGACTTTCTATAGTTGAGGGAACTTCAGGCCATTCACATTTCATTTAGGCATTGTGATCCTCCATTGTGTACCTGGGCTACACTTACCAGCTAAGGGTCCCCATTGGGCTGGTCAGGCATCAAACTGGTCATTCTGTTGAGGGATTTCCTGTAAGTTGGTATCTCAGGTCTTTCCTCTGAGATGGTTCAGAACTTTTTCTTTTTTTTAATATTTATTTTTTTCAGTATTTGGCGGACACAGCATCTTTGTATGTGGTGCTGAGGATCGAACCTGGGCCGCACGCATGCCAGGCTAGCGCGCTACCACTTGAGCCACATCCCCAGCCCGATGGTTCAGAACTTAACAAACTTTTTTCCTGGTTTTTCATGCTCTGTAAGCAGAACTTGAATATTTCCTGATATCTTACCATTTCAATATTTAATATATTGATTTGTAGACATTTCTTCCCATCCTTACCTCAATGGGTTTTGTTGTATAATTATTTTTTAATTTTCATAATGCATTATAGTTATATGTAATGCTTGAGTTCATTTTGACAAAATTGTACATGCAGGGAATTTGATTTACTTCTTTTTAGTCCTGGGACTCCACACCTTTTCCCTCCCCTTCTCCTTCTCTCTGTTCTCTTTACTCTACCTTATTGGTTTTCCTTTCCCTCATATATTTTTTGCTTGGTGCTTTATAGGTATATCTAAAGGTGGAATTCACTGTGATATGCTTATAAATGTACATGGCATGATTTTGTTAAATTCATTCTTCTATATTTCCTTCCCTTTTCTATTCTTCCTTCCTTTCAGTCTCCTCCTTGTACTCCACTGATCTTCCCTACACCTTTATGAATTTCTGTTTCCCCACTCTGCTTACCCTTATTTTGCTTTAGCTTCCACATAATGAGAGAAAACATTTGATTCTTGATTTTTCTGTGTCTGGCTTATCTCACTTAACACGATTTTCTCCAGTTCCATACATTTACTGGGAAATGCAATAATTTCATCCTTCCTTATGAGTGAACTCCATCATGTATATATGCAATATTTTCTTTATCCTTTCATCTATGATGGCCTTCTGGGTTGATTCCATGATTTGGCTATTGTGAATTCTGTTGATATGGCTGTATCACTACATGGTGCAGATTTCATTTCCTTTGTGTAAATACAAAGGAGTGGGGGTTATACTTCATTTCCAGTTTTCAAAGGAATTTCCACACTACTTTCCAGAAAGGTTGCACTAATTTGCAGTCATGTTTTATATAACTCTTATCTTTTATTAAGTGTTCACAATATCAGAATCCATTGTTTACATTTCTTTTTAAGAATAACCATTCCTTTTCCTGACTTGAAGAAATGAGCTGGCTTTTTGTCATTTCCTGTACATGCTTTAAGTCGGTCCTTTTGTTTTTAGTTCTATACCTCTGGTAACCTCAAATCTGGTGAGGCCAACAAGTTTTTTTTTTTTCTTTTTTTTCCCTGTTGCATTACCCACCAAAGGAGCTTTAGTTGTACTTTTTTGTGTGTGTTCTGAAAACAGTTACTTCTCATCCCTCTCTTCTTACAAAAATACTACTGTAATGATTTTCCATTAATAACTAGTTTTCTTTTTACTTCCATTTACTTTTACTGTCTTTGCTACTTATAAAGTAGTTTAATCCATAAACATAGATTATAATTTTTTGTTTAATGTCAAATTGTTTATCTTAATAAATAACTTTGATTTATGTGAACATATTGCTTTCTTGAAATGACACCACCAATTGTAAATGGAAGTCTTTTCTTCAGCACCAAGTGCAAACTCAAAAAAAAAAAAAAAAAAAAGGACATGAATTTGCTATCTTATTATAGTTTATATTCCCTTTCTTTATGACATATGTATATCCAGCTTATTGGGCATTTATAATTCTTTATAATTTGATTTTTTTTTATGTCCTTTGACTATTTTATTCGAGATGCTTTGACATTTTTATTGGTTTGCAAAATCTGTTAGTAGGCATATAAATCCTTTGGCATGCTTTTTGTTGTCATCAATTATTTACTTTTTGAGAAAAATAGCTTGCTTTCCTTCTACTTGATTTTGAATATGCTTATGTCTAGCTTCTGCTATTTATCATTAATGTTCCTTTCTATTTTATTATTATTATTATTTTAAGGCTCCTTTTTATATTCCTTTCCACAGGCAAATTCTTGCAGCAGCCAAAAGAGCTGACCAAGTGGGACATTTTCTTTGGGTGGGATCAGACAGCTGGGGATCCAAAATAAATCCTCTACACCAGCATGAAGATATTGCAGAAGGAGCCATCACCATCCAGCCCAAACGAGCCACAGTAGAAGGTAGGTGTTTTGTCAGTAGTAGGATATGCTGAGAGAGTGGTTGGTGCTGTGTTCCACTGCCAAAGCATGTGTCTCTTTCAGGGTTTGGTGTTTGCACAAAATTTATGCAGGCTGGTTTCCAACATGTTGCCATGAAATGCAAGTGAATCCACACACCTGGTCTGTTACTTTGAGTTGACATTCCTCTTTTGTAGTGATCATATTGTTTTCATAATATTGCAATTAGCATATATTCTTTATGAGAGGAGAGCTTTGAGAGGAGAGCATTAACATTAATAAGAAGTGAAATAATAATGCATCCAAGTGTGTATTAAGTTTGCTGCATTTTCAGAGAAGACCATTTTCCCTTTGTAATTTATCTATTACTTCCTTAGTGGAAAAACTACAGGAATCATTTTCCCCTTTTCCTTTCCAGGTCTCTTGCAGACCCAGGAAGCTCTGATGAGTAGGATGAGTAGCACACTACTCTTAGTAGGCATCAGTGTCACCTTGCTTTCCTAGATCTCTTATTTTCTCACTCTTAGTCTTTTTCTTGCTTTCCTAAATTTGTTCTCCTTCCTTTTACTCTATCTTCTTTGCTACTACAAAGATTTTTTGAGAGATACAAGTGTTAGGTAGTGGTAATGAGTAATGAAATGTGAACTGTTACATAGCAGGGACAAGGGTTTCTTTGAAATGCCTTTAATGAATAATCAAGTAAGTTGTAGAACAACAGGTGTACATACTCCCCTAAGAATAAACAGGGAGAAACAAAGGTAGCTAATTAAGAAATATGTCAATTAAAAAAAGATCAATAAGGCTAACTTATGACAGTCTACTGAAGGCATTGTAAAGTTAGGATTTATGGTCATAGGTTTCTCTGTGTATTTTAGAAGTGAAATTCCTTTAGTAGCACAGGCTTACTAAGATGAAGTCTGTCCCATCATTAACCCCAGCACCCACGAGAACACAGGATTAAAAACTTGTAGATGAAGCCTCCATGAATAGATTGGTTGTCATGACAGTTCCAGTTAGGACCTAKTAGGGTCAAAAACTTCCCTCCAATATGAAGGAGGAGACTGGTAAAGACGGCAGAAGGTGGAACCCAGTTCTCCTGGGAAATATCAAAGCAACAAATTAGAAAATAGAGTAGCTTTCTTTGTCATTTTCTGCTCAGAGACAACACAGTCTCTAGAGCGCTGTTTGCTTGAGCCTTAGTTTACTTTCACTTTTAATAAAATTATCTTGCTTGACTTTTTGCACTACTCTGTAAATTTTCTTTCATTGGGACACAGAACTGAGGTGCTTTAGCTCAACAGTTTCTTGTGACACCAGCAGGAAAAGTGTTTACTGGTATCCTTTTGACCTAAGGTAACAGGCTGATTATAACTTGTTTTATTTAATTTTAAAAGGAAAGTTATTTCTAAAAGAAGATACTATGTCAAGAGAAAGGAACTCCTCTGCAAATGTCCTGCTTTGTATCTCTTTTCTGACGGTGCAGGTCCCCCAAAGACTTCTTAAAATATGCTTTGCACAATGATTGAACTCCTTCCTCTTGCTCAAAGGAGATCCAATATTTGCATTGTTTTCTATTCTTTCTCCACTCTAAGTATTTTCTCTAGAAGATTTCATGCTCTGTTTAGGCTTTTTTTTTTTTTTAAATCACTATTCCCTTTGTATGTTATCAGAAGGAGATAAAGACCCCATGAGTCACCCATGTTTTCATTGGAAGGTTTTGAATCAATTCCATTCCCTAATACATGTCTAGATCAGATTGCCTATCTTACAATGCAGACCAATGCATTTATAGATAGATTGCAGGTATAAAAGATGAGGTTTTTAACCATCTCTTCTCCTTTTTACTCAAATACATTTTCATTATGTCCCTTGCTCTTGCTAGGAGGAAAAAAAACAAATGATGGAGACACCCTCAAAGCAGGTATAATTGAGGAGGGAAAGTGTCAGAAAAGTCAAGGAGTCTTTGTCAGTGCAGGATGATAAGGGTGGAAAATACTCCTCTGAGAATGTAGTACATGAAGTAAAGACTGGGAGGTCCTCTTGCAGACAATAAGAAGAGGGTTTAAGTATGTGGGGACAGAGGATTGAAGGGGAAGACATAATAGGGGAGCTGCCAATCATTCATTCTTCACCATAGTCCTACGTTGCAACCATTGTGAAATAATTACAGTTTTTAAAAATGTTGCTGATTATAAGACATTAGAAAGACCCCTCTCTACTGGATGACTAGTCAGGATTATACTATCTGGCTGACTGATATCTCTATATTCTTTGCTTAGATATTAGTTTTGCATGGAAACCATGTGTTAGTCAGACTTTTGTCATTATAATAAAATAACCGAGATAATCACCTTATAAAGAGAAAAATGATATTTTGATTCACAATTTTAAAGGTTTCAATCCATGATGGATTGGCCCCATTGCTTTGGGCCTTGGATGAGGCAGCACATCATAGCAGGAACACAAGGAGAATAAAATACTTTTTTTTTTTTTATGACCAGGAAGCCAAAAAGAGAGGAGGGGCCAGGGTCTCATAATCTTCTTCAAGAGCACACTCACAATGGCGTAGACTTCTCATTAGGCCTCCCTCTTAAAGTTTGCCACACTGGGGAACAAGCCATTAATATAGAGCCTTTGGGAGATACACATTGACAGCCATACTGTCAATGTGCATTGTAATGAAGATCCAAACTATAACACTCTCTGAGGTCATCACACTCAATTCCAGTCTCAGCTGGTAGATCATTCTCCTGCCTTTCCAGCATCCCACATGTCGCCTATGATGGTATTACCTTATTATCTCTCTCTGAAAATATGTCTGTGTACCATTGTATCACTAGCATTTAGTTCTTTGCCTGGATATTGCAATACTCAAACCAAGTTTTTAGGTGTTTGTATATCTGGATGGATCAGGAATCACACATCACATAAGGGCCTGACACAAATTAGGGTTTATAAGTAGGCCAGAGTTGGATAGCTAAGGCTTCTGAAAATCACAGTGAGTTTGTACTTGATTCTGAAAGTCTCTAGAGTATAACCTGAGGTGTATATGTGAGATGTGATGTGAGGGTTTTACAAGGCTCACTCATATGTCTCTATGGAGAGGTGAATGGTAAGGATCTGGCATGAATCAAGGCAAACCAACAAATTACAGGGTCTCAGCTGGGATCCTCTTCGAAAGCTCTAGATACCACATAATGATGCCCATATTCCATGGTTACCGCCCCAGGTGCATGTTATTTTAGGAAATTACTAGTTATGTGAAAGGTTTTAGAAATACTTAAAAGAAAATACTATTTTCATGCATGTATGAGGATATGCAAGTTTACAAAATCAGACACAAAATAGCATCATGAACTGATAAGAGAAAGGAAGGGAAAAAAGAGCCCTAGACAATGAAATGGAGGAGAAATGTTGTCATTATTAAAAGTAATATTGAGATGCATGGAACAGTAACCATTTCATGCAAAACTTTCCTACTCGGAGAAAAATGAATATTGTCATGTGGATGCATAGAAAAGGCTATATAGCTTCTATCCAGCCATACTGTAAATGTGCATTGTAATGAAGAGAACCAAGCTTCTTTCAATTTCATAGCAGATAGAACATTAAGATTGAAGCAATGCCTTTATGGAATTACTCCTAACAAAGTGGAGAAAGAAATAACATTTCAGTTAAGCTGAGACTTCTGACCAAAGCTGTGTAACATCTAGAATTAAACTATAAATGGAGCATATTCTATAAGGGCAAGTAAGTTTTTCTACCCTTCCTTATCATCACCACCCCTATATATTTTCAGTTTTGTGGATGTTCTGTATTGGGTCATGCTGAATTGGCAAATCCTGCAGCATTCATAATACATCCTCTATCTTTGACTAAGTTAAACACTTCATTGAGAAAAGGTAAAAAGCTAATTAATAATTCACATTATTACCCTTTAGATTCATATTTTGATCATGTTCATCCAACATCTGGATTTTTGGCTGGCATTTTTTGTATGTGCATAAACATAACAAATTGTTTTTGGTTGAATTGCAAGCAAGTACCCTGTTGCTGTGAAAGTAGCTTTATATCTCCTTTTATCTTCTGTGTTTATTTTCCATTTATAGAAAATGAAGAATCAGTGGTTTTTTTTTTTTTTTTTTAGCAAGAGGTATTGTTTCTGCCCTTCGCAGTTTAATGATAACTGAAGCCAAGCTCTGGGATGGTCAGCTGTAGTCCCACTGGCTGCCCCATATTCATGGCGGATTTAGGGAATATCTCCAGAACTTGGCAGCCCTCCTCTAGCTCCTGAGCCAAAGCACTTGTGTAATTTTTAGTTTCTGCCTTTCCTGATGAGCCAAGGAATTCCTGGCATTTTCCTCACTTGTGTGTTGCCCTTTAGCTAGAACACACAGTAATCCTCTTCAGACCTCATGTCTTTGGAGCAAAACATCCCCACGTCACCTTAAACTCTTCACTGTCCAAAATGCTTTGCTTCTCTGAGAGTAGGCAGTCCTGGGTGTCCTTTGCTTAGAGCCAGTAGAGGTCATGAACCAGCAATTTTTCATCAGTGCTATGATCATTAACATTAGGGAAGCTAGTGTAATGAAGGGTGGATTCTCAGAGCTAACTCTAATGGCTCTCACAATTGGTGGTGGTTTTCCAGTGGGCCTGTAGAACAGTTTGCTTTCTGAATTAAATCTGCTATATGTGAAGCAATAGACAAAAACAACAAAAAACCAAAACTCTACCCAGCATTAAAAAAAATCAGTTTTATAGAAGATGATTTCATGATTTTACTCACGATCCCAAGATCAAATGCTTTATTTTTCATAAAACCAGAAAGCTCAAAGCTGTGAAGATCTGAACTAAAATATTTCTGGCTCAATTTACTGTATCCTTCCATAATTACCTAGAATATACCTCATGTGTCAGTTTTGTTAGGTGACTGGAAGAAAACACCAAGAAAAAAATAAATACTGCCTTGATCCATAATGCTGTTTTTAAGCAAGGCATGTTTT